GGAGCAACTGCTGGCACGTCAGCTCGTAAGTGCACGCCAAACAATTGCGGTTAATGCTCGCATGTGCGAGATATTTATGACTGATAAATTAATAAAGCGAGCGACCACACTAAACTTGCAATGCGGCAACATTGAGGCACATGAAATGTTTTCTATGCCACATTTCCCAGCTGCTAATAAATGCAGCCCCAAAAAAACGCCGGAGAGGCACCAAGCATAACATCAATCCATCAAGCATTGTTAAAGAGAGAAGCATATTCTGTATGTTAACTTAAAGCTGGGCACCACAAATTTGCCAATGCTATGGCACTCTCTCTGGTACTGTGGTGGGTCAAATTAAGCCCAAAAAAAAAAGGGCTGCGCCATAAATATATTCACGACCCCACAGACTACTCGAGTACTAATCAGTATGCCGGGCGCATGGTCAAGCGGTTGCACATTATTTTATTACGCACAATTGAGTCGCACGATGTCACGCCCATCGATGGGCAACGCCACAAACACTTGTGTACGTGTGAGAAACTCCACAATAATAAAAACAACGCAAGATGGGAGGGACAAACAAGTAAGAGTGCTCTAGTGAGCCAGACTAGGAGATGACTGACTAGGAGATACCCTCAATCCAGCGCCGAGCTGCCGCCACAAACATTCTAGCTTCCTTCTATATATATAAACGCAAAAACTCACGTACGCACACATATAAAAGACTCCCATACATTAACATACGCGCAGCAAGCTGCACTGTGTAAGCAGCGACTGCTTCTTCTTTCTTTAGCCATGGAAAATGCGTTCTTGAATAACTTCAGCATTTATTGTCTCATCTTAATGAAAATTCAAACCATAAATCCAATTGCAGGCAACAAATTGCTTTGAGGGAACAAGGGGAATCATCCATAAGATGAAATATTCTGGATGTCAGTTTAGTATACGAGAATCAACATATGTCATTTGGTATATATAACTCTTATAATTGTGGCTAGATTGTGTCAGTCCTAATGCTGATAAAAAGTGTATTTGTCCTCTTTGGGATATGTCTCCTACAGCTTATTGCAATCATTTGCCATTATACCCTTTAAAACCATTTTCAATTGGTTCAAGCTGTAATACAAATATTGAGAAAAGCATAAATCGAATAGCAAAAAACTTTGAATGAGATATACCAACGATATAAATACTATATTTCTATAGTAATTAAAATGCATTTAACTATTAGTACAAATGATACGTTTGGTCAGTTTGGCGTCAGTTGGTCGTATAAGAAACAAGGCATATGGCATGAATATGTCAAAAAGTTGGCTGGGAACGCAAACAGATTGTTATTTAGTTCAAATCTGCTGTTAATGTTAATTAAAAATGAATTGCTTAAGAACTAACTTGATATAGTTGACCTTAAAGCTAGTTGAATTTAACAAGTTTAAAATTGAATAAATAGTAACTACAACACAACAACAGTAATACGAATACAACATCAAATGAAGTTGGAGAGCTACTCGGTGAGAGCGAGAGAGAGAGAGAGGAAAAGATAGAGACAGAGATAGAGAGGCGGAGAGAGAGATTTCTAGATGGTACTGTGTGTTAAGCGCAATTAGTTAAGTGATCGAGTTAGTAAAATGTAGCTAATTGTTCTTAGCCTACAACTACGACAAAAGTTATTTGGCACGCAGAGTAGGAGATAGCGAGATAGTTCGGAAATATCTAACTACTTGAGAGTATCGAATAAAATGAGTGTGTCGAAAAAAAAGCAGAGCTTATTTTTGTTAAGTTAATTTGGAATGCAATGTATTTTTTTGTTGTTGTTAGCGTTTTAGTGAACACACAAACCTTTTTAGGAGAAGATAAGTGTAGTGAAGTTGGCGATGGCATAGAACAATCAGAAGATGCAGAGCTGCAGCCGCTACTGCCGCTGCTGCACCCAACGACGCCGGTATGCACGGGCGGCGGCGGTCCCAGCAACGAGACCAGACGACCGCCGTCGCCGAACGAGAGGCCAGCATCGCCGGGAGCAGCCGCGACGGGCTGCTTAGTAGTAGTGGTGGTAGATTTGGTAGTAGTTCTAGTTACATCACATAGATTAACTGTATTATTTACATTGATGTTCGGAGTGCTTGCCGCCGAGGTGGGCGTGGCAGCTGTGGCAAACATGGTGGCAGCGGCCACAGCGGCGGCTCCACTGCAGGCCGGTATGATTGTGAGCGGTGTTGTTGGCGCGGCAAAATACTGCGCTGCAGCTGGTGGCACCCCAGCCGATGCATATTTATTGGGCGTGGCCGGTGCAGCGGCCACATTGTTAACCTGCAGTTGCATATACGTCTGCAGCATGGCCTGAGCCTGAACCTGCGCCTGCTGATGATAGTGGTATTGCTGCTGTGCGGCCTGTTGATGTTGTTGCTGTTGCTGCTGTTGCTGCTGTTGCAGTTGGAACTGCTGTTGCTGCTGTGCTTGCTGCTGCTGCTGCTGCTGATGTTGATGTTGATGCTGTGCGGCGGCGGCCGCGGCAGCCGCTTGCTGATGAATCAGCATGGCTTGTTGCTGCTGCTGTTGTTGTTGCTGGACGGCGACGATGTTGCTTTGCTGCAACATGGCAGTTGTGGCGCCAGTCGGATACGCCTGGTACGCGGTCGCAGCAGCGGCTGGATGCTGCAAGTGCAAATGATGCGGATGCGTGGGCGGCGCTGCTTGCAACAGTTGCATTTGCTGTGCGTGGTGTGAATTTATGCGCTTTCAGATTATTTTCGATATTTTTGTTGGGGGCTTTTTTGAGGTTGAGGTTTAAGTTTCAGTTTGGTTTTGACTTTGGCTGATGTTGGCAAATGTTGGCAAACAAAAATCCGAAAAACCGATAACAAAAAACAACGTTGTTCCAATTGGCAAAACAAAAATATATATATTTGTAAAAAAAAATATGATTTTGGTAAAACTTAAAAGTTTTTGGTAAAGCAAATCAAAATAGCAACTCGTTAGTACCGCAGAGTCGCCATTGATTGAACTGACCGTGCCTCGCCTAGTGGGTAAATAATAAATTGCGAATCCGACTAAAAGGTAGATTCGAGTGAGATTTGCAAAGCTGTTTTGCAGTGGCAGCAATAAATAGTGTCAAAATTAGCAGTAGTAAAAGTGAGAGCAGTGACTAAATGTTAGAGAGTTCGTTTAGTTAAAACTACATTAGATCAGTTGGCAAGAGAGCGAGAGAGGGAAAGACAGAGAGAAAGAGAGAGTGAGAATTGTGTAGATAAAGCAGAGCATTAGATAGACATAGCAGTAGCATAGAAAAGAATCAGAAGAATAGAAGTGTTAGCTAGTTTCAAGACCAGAACTCGGGCTAGCAGTTGTATGTGTATATATAAGTCTCAGATTACGAGCCAACGAGCCAACCTTCGCCCTCCACAGCCTGAGCGAAAATGAAAACGGAAAAAGAGTCCACAGGCCATGGAATTTGTTTTATATTCTCTTTGCAGTAAATCAACACCAAAAAAATCATCAAAGACATAAACCTTAAATAATGTGTTTTCCTTTAAAACGCACTTTTAGTCAATGGTAAAAGGAAACTCCAATTTTATATCAACAAAGAAAAATTAAGCTTCGGCAGGCCGAAGATATAATACTCTTGCAGTTACAGTCGTTCTATTCCTGTGAGTTAAGCTGTATTCAAATTTATCTTTACCACAGCCAAAAGGGCAAAAGTATTAAATTCTAGAAAAATATACCTTTAAAAGTAGAAATAAAAAACTTTGAATTATACCCTCTTAGTTTTGTGATATAGAAAATCGGCTTAGATCGAATATGCCAAGCCAATTTACACGTTTTTGGTTTGTACGATATTTCGAAAAGTTTAACATTCAAGCATGGTTGTTTTATATCAGCTTGTTAAAAATATGTAACTATTTCTCCGGAAAATATAATTTTATACTCTCTGCAAGAGTATATAAGTTAAGTTTGAATAAAATACTTGGTGTATTTACAAGAAAAGTGGCGATAAAAATAAATACAACTAAAATAGCTTAAATGAACGTTTCTAAATTAAATTCAAGACTGAACTAAATTTATTACATATGTAAAAGATATTTTACAGCTTCACAAAAGCGGAAGAGAAAAATCAAGTGTCTCTTAACTTTACATGTGTACGCGATGGTATGAGTTTAAATCAGATGACAAGAGGCATAATTATTAAATTGAAACATAAAACCATTGACTAGTTGATTAGTTGTTTGATTTTTGGCTCGCATAGCTCGTAACTGAATTGCTCATAGTAAGAGATGGGTAGTAAATATGTAAACGTTAGAATAACTAAAAATTTGAGTAGGTAGAATATGAATAGCTTCTTTTTGCATAGTAAACTGTACATTTTTTTTTTTTTTTTTTTTTTTTTGAGGATTATATAGTAGTTAGTTCGATTTGATTTGATTGTATTGTTATTTAATTATAGGTATGTATGAGTATTAACAAAAACGAAACGTTGGGTTCAATTTTCAATGGATCGATCAATGGATAAATATCTCAAATTTCGTCAACTCTTTTTCATATTTTTATATAATTTTCTTATTTCAATGTCAAATTTTTATTTGCGTTTCTTTTTGAAGTGCATTTTGTGCTCTTTTTTTTTTTTTTTTTTTTTTTTGGTTGTTTTTAGGATGTGGGCGGCGCTTACCATGATTAAATCTTGTATAGGGGAGGACTCGGCTGTTGAATCAGATGCAACGATTTCGCTTTTTACCGTTAACGGCGGCGACGGAGTTGCTGCGGCTGTTGCAACAGTGGTGACGACGGCAGCGGCGGTGGCAGCGGCGGCGGCGGTGGTTGCGACTGTCGGCGGGGCGGCGTTGGCGCTGGCAAGCGACGCTTGAGAGCTGCTGCTGATACTGAGCGCTGCAATCGCTGCTGACGCCGTGGTTTCTGTTAACGCGGCAATGATGACAGTTTTATTGGCAACAAATGTTGATTGAAAAATTTCTATATTCTGCACTTTTGTTTGTTTGCTTTTTTTTTTTTTTTTTAAGTTTTTAAGTTTTATTTAAGTTGCGTTACGTTTTCGCTTTGTTGCTCTTAATTTGTTCTTATTTATTAATTGTTGTATTTGTCTTGCGTTTTATTATTATTTTTGGGAATTTTCTTGTATTTTATTTGGTATTTTCTTGATGTGGGAATTGCACGGGTTTTGGGTAGTCGAGAGTTAAGTGCTTGTGTGTTTGGTGAGCTTGTTTACTGTCGAATATACAAATATATATATTCGAGATATCAATATGTATATCTATGCCAATTGAATAATTTTGATTAGTCTGCCAATTGTGCTCAAAAGGTTTACGCAAATTGTTGCAAAGTGCTGAGATTGCAATTACGTCTACTTGAGTTTGAAACACGTTTAAATTGCGCTAACAAGTATTTTTCATTTAGTATATATTGAGTTGTATTTGAGCGTAGTTTTAAGTTTTTTACTAGCCTGCAGATTGTCTAGCTTATTTAGTGCTATATGTGTATGCCTATATCACTACTGAGATTGAATAATAATTAGACATGTATAATATGTTTGTATTGTGTATATCAATGTATATATTTAGATTTAGATGTATAAGTATAGGTATATGTAAAGTGTATAGCATAAAAGTTCTGAAAACCGTTTGAGGATTGTTTAAAGTTTGAATGATTGATTGATTAAGCCTTAAGTTAAGTTAAGTTAAGGGGGAAATTGCCTTAAGATTGTCGTGGAGTTTTGAAAGTGTTTTTGTAGTTTGAGGTTTGATTCGAGTTGAGAGCAAAAGTTGCGAAAAAGGTTCTTTATAAATATAAATATTTTGAATAGCTGTGTGTATACACTATGTTTATATATCTATATATGTATATATGGTATAATGCTCTGATTATTGCCTGACTTTTGAATGCTTTGATTGCTGCTACTCAATTTCGGCCCTAAATATATACGCTAATTTTTACTGATTGTCAAAACGCGTACTCTTGTCGATCGAGGCATTAATACCCGGCGATTTCTTTGTGTAACCCTAAGAAAAATTACCTACAAATATGTTCGGTAAAAACTTAACCAACTGCAACTGCAATTAGTCAAGAGCTAATGAAAAAATCTTTTCTTTTGATTGACACCGTTTTTTGTTTTTTTTTTTGTTGTTGTTTTAAATCTAGTATTTAAGTGATTCTTGCTAGAATTGACTGCTTTATGAATTCAGTTACAACCAATTTATTATGATAGACATATTACAGACACGCACAAACAGATTTGTATTTGTATTGGTTTTTTTTTTATTTTGTATTTGTAGTGTAGAACGAGAGTTTTTGTTTGATTAGTCTGCACTTTTAATTTTAGCTATAATTAAAAAATGCTAATTACTTCTGTGCATTTCCTTTTATGATATGTTGCTATTTATCTGATCTGATTGCTGCTGCAACGCCTTTTGTAAATATTTATACTTATTTTCAATTTAACAACCTTTTCATTCTTTTTAAACCCCTACACTTTACTCACCAGAAAAAAAAATTTGAAAGAAAAAGGACGCTAAATATTAAGTTCCAATCAGGTTGGGACTGGAAATGGGGGGCACAAAAAATGCTTTACGTAACCCTTCGCTAAAATGCTATCACCTTATTATCCCCTCCGCTTCTATTGGCTAAGCCTCTCTTTTTCACTTAGCGACCAATCTTTTGCCTACCTGTTTCTTAATTGATTTTGCCTTTTATTAGTTTTTTCTTTGCCAGGCAACTTGCAAATTACGCTCAAAATTAACAACAAAATATATAATTCACTCTATGAATTCTTAACAACTTTTTTACTTCATATATATAATTTAATTTAAAAAATTTGACTTCTTTGTAAATAGCCTTTCAATATCTTTCCAAGTTGGCGCTAAAATGTACACAATTTCTTTCTTTTTCTTTATTTTAATACTGTTCTTTAAATTCCCATTTGATTTGAATTCTCAGCTGTTCAGTGGCGGAAATCAAAATCTAGTTAAATTTGATTTCATCTGTATTTTTATTAAGGGGCATTCGCCACACAAATATTTAAAATTAACAACAATTTGCCACTTTGTTCGTTTTTGATGCCTTTTGTTCCGTAATGCCTAATGGTTTTTCTTATTTTTTTGAATGGGCTCTGTTTTATGTTTCTGTTTTGTTGGGGTTCTGCTTTGGGATTTGGTTTGGAATGGTGTGGGAAAGCGTGTGATTTGGGCAAAGAAAAATACCAGTTGATTCTTGTAGCTTATTTATATTAATATTTCTTGATCTTTTGCTTGCTTGTACTGTTTGTTAGAGGAAAAGTACAAATAGCGAGATTAATTTAGACGTGTGTCGGAATTTCGATTACTTCTATATTTTGAAGAGAATGAAGGGGAAAAACCAAAAAAATACATTTGCAAAAGAAAACTCCAAATTTAAATACAAGTTTTTTGCTTTATTTTTTTTTAGTTTCAATCTAAAATAGACGGAAGTGCCAATGGAAAATTATAAAAATCGCGTCACTTTTTCTTTTTCATAAATATTTTTGTAGTTGGTTTTTTTTATGCCAATTCAAAACCAAACTTGAAGCTCAACCAAAGGATGGACAAACAAAAGAGAAACTAAATGAAGCTCAAACAATTAACAACAAAATGGCACAAAATAAGTAACAAAAGTACACAATGGGCATGAATACTTAATAATAATTTTGCTCTTATTACCAATTAAATGTCGAGACAAAGTCGTTGAAGTAGATGAAGTGCTGTTTTTTATTATTCTTTTTCTTTTTTTTCTTTGTTAAAGGTTGTTCTTGATTTTTTGTTGGTGTTTTTTTTTAGATATTTGTGTTTTGTCTTTATTATTTTTTTTAATATTTTATTATATGTAACTTTGCCGCTTTAAATGTTGCTAATGCGTTTTGTAGTTGTTGCTTTTGTTGTCGTTGTTGTGTGGTTACTTGTAATTATGGCTCTGAAACAAAACAAAAAATTTGCCTTTGAATATTTTGTGCTCCTCTTGGCTCAAGTGCGTTTATAATTTTGTTTGTGTGAAGAGATTCTTGTTGTATGGTTTTGCTTTTTTTCATTGTGTGATTTTTGCTGATTTTTGTGCGGCTCGCACAAGAACACGTTTTCAGACCAACAAAAAAAAGCAAATAAATGACTTTTGGCCAACTCTGAAGCTCTGAAGCAGCCTGGTTCTAACAATTGTGCGAGCGCGTTGCTCTCTTCGTGATTAGCACGCACGAAATTTCTTTGCCTTTACCGGTTTTCTTTACTTTTCATACATTCTTTTTTTTTTTGCCTGACTCACACTTTTGGCTTTGGGATCGTGCAAAAAGGCAGCGTTGCCAAGTTAGAAAAGAGCTCAAAACAGATTCAGATATGAAGAGCTAGAGATATACGTATACGAGCGTAGGCTCTGTACTCTGGCAATTGGAGACGTGTAATTACAACAATAAAAATAAACTACGGGAATTATTTCGATGCGTACTAAGTACGGGATGGCGGCCAAGTGGGAGATTGAGAGAGAGAGAGAGAGAGTGAGAAAGAGAGAAGCGGCGGCCGGGCGAGCGAAGTGAAGTGAAGTAAAGTGAGTGTGCGGCCTATTGGAACGTTAGCCATAAGGTTTTATGGCTAACAGACACAGACGACGACAAGGCGACGGAGACGTCGTTGAATGGCCGCTACATGTCTGTGTTTTTTTTTTATATATTTATTTCTTTTTTTTTTTTGTTTTGCCTGTTTTATTTGGGTTTTCGATTTGTGTTTTGCTTTTTAGCCCGCAAACACAAAAACGTGTTTCGTTGTTGCTGCTCTGACTTGCAGTTACCTTACCCCTCTGCCGGCTCCTGCATTGTTTTGCTTTTTTTGTTTTTATTTCTTGCCGGCTTTGAAATTTCTTTGGTTTTCTGAGCCTACATATATGCCTGAACGGACCGACCGGAGCTGTGCTGGTCGCTCTTGACTGAGCAACCGAATCTGAGAGCCGGGCTGGGGCTGTAGCTCAGTTTAGAACGTGTTGTTGCTTCTGGCTTCTACAGTTAATAAGAATCAAAATCGAGTCGGCGAGCAACGAACTTTTAGCCAGCAATTCTTTTTATTTTATATTTTGTGTACATACGAGTATTGTGTACATATATTTAAAAAAAAAAATGTTTTGCGCTTTTTGCGAGCACAAAATATTTTGTATTTTATTTTATTTCAAAAATCTTTTCTTTTTTTTTTTGGGTTGCCTAATGAATTTTTGCTTACATCTTGTGGTTGTTGCTGTTGTTGAGTGTTAGAAGATACAAAATAGCGATACACTGATAGCTTTTGAGTTTAAGTTCGAGTTGGGAGTTCAAGTATTTAAGTATTTGTAGATATTTGTTTCTTCTGATATTTTTATTTTTAGCACTCACGCAAAGTGAAAAGTCGAGAAAAGCCGTATGGAAAAGTTTGCGTATTTTTTGATCAAATTTATTTATTTGGTTTATTGTTATTTAGATTTTTTATTTTTTGTAGTTTGAAGATTTATTTATTTATTCCGAACTTGGCGATTTTTTTGACTATTTGATATGCTGCGTGTGTTTTTTAATGTACGCGTGCTATTTGCGAGACGTTGTTGCTGGTATTGCGGCTGTTTTCGATTTGAACTCAACTTTGATTTGGATATTGAAATTTTCGTGAGTGAGCGAACGCGCGTGTGGTTGTGTGTGTGTTGCTGCTGCTTCTGCTTCTGTTATTGTTGTTGCTGCTGCTGTTATGGGGGTTTGCGTTGGTGGTAGTGTTGGTGTTGGTAGTGGTGGTGGTGGTAGTGGTGGTTGGTTTGTGATGTGTGTGCTGGCTGCGACGGCGACGGCGACAGCGGCGACGACGACAGCGGCGGCGGCTCGGCGGCGATGCGGCTACTACTGACTACGGCTACTCTGTTGATGATGATAGCCAAGAGCTCTAGAACTCAACTCAAACTCAGCTCTGAGAAGCGACTGAACGGTGTGCGTGTTATTCTATAGCCAGGTGTGTGTGTTTGTTGTTGCTGTTGTTATTATTGTGCCAGTAGTTGTTCTTGTTGTTGTTGCTTTTATACTACATATGATTTCTATAGAGCGAACGAGCGAGCGAGCGTACGAACGGCGGACAGAATTGGAACGGGTTAAAGCAAAGACTGTACGAAGACTGAAGTAAGAACGACTGGCATTCTAAGGTAATATACCTTTTTTGTTTCGGAGTGCGACAGCGCTGCCGTCGTCAGATTGAATCTGTTGCGCCAACGCCGACGCCAGCTGCGACAGCAGCAGCGTTAGCGACAGAGACGCGTGTTAACCAAAATAAAGCAACAGTAGAGGCCAGAACCGGACGAGTTCGACACCAAGAGATGCTAGCTCGTGTGAGAGACGACGACGCTGACGACGACGACGATGACGATGACGACGACGACGACGTCGAAGACAGCAGCGTAGGTCGGCAGCATTTCTCCTGCAAGCAGCGTCAACTCCGAAAAACTGTTTTCGGAGCGCGTAGCACACCTTTTGCCATGCTCCTCTCTACTCTCTTTCGCTCTCTCAGCTGTTGTTTGTTACCTGCCGGTTCCTTGGCTCGTTGCCTCTTCAACGTTCTTTTGCCTTTGATATTGCCATTGTTGTTGTTGTTGTTTCTGCTGCTGCTTTGAGACGCTTCATATTGAGTCCCGGCTTTTGTGGTGGTGCCTCAGGTGCGCAATTATTAAACGTCTTTTGTTCATTATTTTTTCTTGTTGTTGCTTGTCTTTATCGTCGTCGTCGTCGTCGTCGGTGACTAGGCGCGATTTGGTAACGTGTTCATTGTGTGCAAAGCCCCACGACTTTGGTTATATAACACTCGTATAAGTTGTGCATGAGGCGTATAAGACTTTTGAGGATCAGATGGGGCTGGCACATGCTAAGTGGCTTACCTGAATGGCCGACGCTGTGTATTTCACCTTCGTGCGACAGGACAATCGCTGATGCTGCTGCTACGACTCTTGCTGTTGTAATTGCAGTAACAACATTACTGGCACCCACCTATACCCACCCACGCACACACACACACACGCGCACGCACACATGGGTCATGTGAGACAGCAAATGCAAGCGCCATGCGTGCGCGCCCTGCCTGTGGCCGCTCGTGAGTGCGAGCGAGCGCGCGCGCTTCAGTGCGAGCGAGAGAATGCGTGCAAGAGAAATGGAAAATGGAAAATCATGGGGCGGCGAACGCCGGGCGCCGGGCAGAGCGTGCAGCTTAAAAAAGGCAAAACAACAACGACGTCGTCGTCGGCAGCGGCAGCGACGACAAAATCAACGAGAAAATAATAATTGTTACACCTGCTTCGGAAATGCGCGCAAGGGGTGGAAACGGAGCGCCCAACACACGACCAACGGCGACATCGACGACGACGACGACGCCGGCGACGAAGCAGCGTTCGCTTTCAGGTGAGCGTCGACGCTTTTGCCACCCCCAAAAAAAAAGCGAGCGTCGCAGCTGTCGTGATTAAATGCCGAAGCACGGAAAACCGAACCGCTTTTCCGATGAAGCCTAACGAACGAGCCGATGCTGCCGCCTGCCGTCGCATCGAGCGCTGTTCGTGTGCGAGAGTCCGAACGTACGCAGCGCGCATGCCCCAAGGTGCAAATGCGATGTAGGTGTGAATGAGGCAGAGTGCGAGTTGTGGGTGGCCGATACGAATGGGGAAAACGAATCGTTCAGGGGGTTGCTTCCGTCGTTTTTGTAAGGGGTAGCTTGTTAGGGGAAGTGACAAACTGCTAACGTTGCCACTGTTAATGGAAAAGCTTTTCGGGGAAAGCTTTTCGGAGACAGCTAGAGCATTTGGTAACAAACGAGCAACAGTTAAGAGTCTATCAACTTGTTGGTAATAAAGGTCACACGTCAAGTCTTAATAATAGTGTAATTAACACATTTAACTTACCACGTTCGATTGGCAAAAAAAAAAAAAAAATATATACATATGTATATAAAGGCATTTATCTTTTTAAGAGGTGTACAATTTATAAACGAAGCATCAAAACAGTGTTTCGATAGGCACACACGCAAAAGCGGAAAATAGGTGAACTACTGATATATAAAAAGTTTTATTCATTGTATGGGATTGTCTTACAACTAATTAGTTATGGTAGAAAAAGAGTATTCAAAAGTTTTACAAATCGATTCAATGTGGAAAATGTATGAATAAAATCTTAAGAAAAACATTTGGATCAGCAACTGTTTTATTGGTTTATGGTTGTTGCCAAGCGATAAAAAACCTTTTGTTCACTACACATTTATGATGGGCGAAACACATTTAAGAGTTCTAGAAAGTGGTTTTGCTTATAAATAAATTTAAATTATTCTAAAAGTAAAAGATAATAAATATAGCAGGACATATTTCATAAACAAGATACTGATATTGGCTGATAATTTAAGTTAAGAATCAAAAAACATGTTATTCTACTAAAATCAAGCAGCCGGGATCTTTTTTTTTATATATGTTTTATTTTGCGCTGGAATCGATCAGTAGCCTTCCGATCTCTACCAAGCAAATAACTAAGGGAGGAATGTATCTAAGGGAATCAGCCAGGATCTAAATTTCATATATCAAATATTTATTTTATTTCGAAATTTCAAGAAATTTTTACTTTCATTGGGAACCTATCAGCGTATTTCTGATATTCAAGTAATGAATACATTGTACTTTATAAAAGTACTTTTGCTCCACTTATTAAAGATAAATCTCTTTTAAAAGTATACAATATCGAAAGGTTCTTGATATCTTAGATTTAAGTTTCTATTCCAGTCATACAAATAAGCATTTAAAGCTCTAAGTGCAAGGACTATTATCCTATAAAGAATGCAAACATATCCTAGTGCTAGGTATTTATAATTGGTGAGTTGAATTAAAGTACAAAATAAAACTATACATGCACACGCAAGCAAATATTCCAGCAAGAGAATATTAAGCTGTTAACGTAAATATTACTTCTAGAACCAAGCCCAGAATTTGTCTATAACAATTGGACTGCTAGCGTTGATTTGTAAATACAAATAAAACCGCTGAATGCAGGACTCATCAAGTGCACTTGTAAAAGTAAATCCCTTAATCTACACACAGTGCATAGAATGCAAATATTGCCGTCGATAACCATCCAAAATCCTACAGATTTGACCGTATGATTCAGCACCGATAGAAATAAATTTCATTTATCGACACACTTTTCGGGTGCAATTCGCACTGGGTATTGCTTCATTTTTTTTTTTACAACTTTTAGGCTATTGCCCATGAGCTAAGGGCCATTTTAGCTCTGTCAGCTGGGTATCCTCTTTCCCTGCCACGCCCCTCCGACAGCATAAAAACGATGCTGTGCATAAAAATTGCTTTGTTATTGTTGCAGGCGGCAACGTTGGCGGCGGCGTCATCGATGATGCCGCATTGAGTTGAGCTGTTGTAGTTGTAAACGGTTTATGGGATTTACGGGCAATTTGTTGCCAACTTTCATTGTTGTTACTGTTATCGTCGTCGTCGTCGTTGTTGTTGTTGTTGTTGCGCCAAAAGGCATATAAAACAATATGCGCCCGGTCTAAGCTGGGCTCGTTAAATGATTTGCGTTTGTTTTTACTCACGCTCTTTATGCCGCATTAGCCTCGGCTCTTACTGCTCGCTGCTGCTCTTGTTGGTAGTTCAAAAAAATGTAAAATGGGGCTTACCTGCAGCAGGCATAAAAAAGAACACAACCCAGAGAGAAAGAGAGGGAGAGCGAGTGCACAATGAGTATATAAATTATTTACTTTCGTTTTATGCACAAATATTGATTAAGCTGTAAAATCGTTATACAAAATTTTAGTGCCCAAGCATCAAACTGTTCAATTGGTTGTGCGAATTTAGTCGCGTCTCCCCCTACTCCTCCACATCCACCCATTTTTTGGCAGCAGTGTTGCAGCAACAAGTTGTGGGGAGCACAAAAAGTACAGCACTACACAAAAATACAAACACAGAGCGCATAGAATGTGGTCTACCAGCCGCATTCAACATTCATGTCGCCACTAGACAAAGCGGGGGACCCCCCCATTACAGATATATATATATATATGCACATATATCTGTATAATTTTTGCAAGTCGAGCGCAACAGCTGCCAGGGTAGCCAAAGGGGGCGGCGAGCAGCCAGAAGCAGACTAAGAGTCAGAGGCAGAGGCAGATGCAGTCAGTTGAACGGCTGTGGCATGCAACAGGCAATGAATCTCAATCTCGGTAACGTTGTCGCTAGCTAGCTAGCTAGCTGGCTGGCTGGCTGGCTTGCTGCTTGCAACGCAAGAACAACGAGAAGGAGCAACTCATGCCGTTGACTTTGGTAATTCAATGGCAACAACTCGCGGCCAAGGCAGCCGCTGCAGCAACACCGGACTCCGCGCCGCAGACGACAGTCAACTTCAGCTTGAATGTTTTGGAGAGAAATATGCGGTAACAACATTTACTAGCCAACCAGCCAGCCCTGTCTTGGCGACTCCCGACAGCGGCCAAGCGACGCAAAACCAACCAAGCAGCCAAGCAACAACAACAACTTAACGCACGAAATAGTCAACTTGCCACATTTTAATTCAGTCGAATATTTCTTTTGCTGCCGCTGTTGCTGCAGCGCTTCGCCAGTTTTTTCTCAGTGCCGCTCTTCGGTCTTATTGCAAATGGCATAAACGGAGAAATTGCATGCAACACACACAGAGTGACTGCGACTTGGCCTGCACTTGGCTCTGACCAAGGCTTGGAATGTCTTCTTCTCTTCTATTACTTTGTCTTGCGCTTAACTTGGCTGCTTGTTGCAATTGCAGTTGCTGTTGCTGTTGCCGCACCACATTCCTTGAGTCGTTGCCTGCAACAACAGTGCCATGTGCAATGTGCGCTGGCAATAGAATTATAGTCACTATAGTTGCTGTCTCTTGGTTTATTTTAAGCTGAATTTATTACCACAAACGTTGTGCATTGTGCGAGTGAGAAGAAGAAAAAATCCAGCCAAGAATTGTGGATGCAAGACGCTGACAAATGCAAATGAAATTGGCAAAAGCGCTCAGTATTTTAGAAGTTATTCGACAAATAATATTATCTGAATGAAAATTATTCTTTTTATTAAATTATTATTATAAAACTATAATAATTTAAAAAAATAAAGATTTAGAAAAATTAATAAAACAAAAATTGAGCTGTACTC